GGTTCTCTATAGTATAGAATATACTGTATGTTATAGCTGATGGATGTCTGATCAGCTGTTGATGATGGTGATGGCCTGGGCGTAGAAACTGTTCTGCCAGACAGGAGGAGTTGGAACATGTCATGACCCGGGTGCGTGGAGATGTGATGATTTTCTCAGCCCTTTTCCTTCTTGCTTAATACAAGTCCTGAATGGAGAACAGTGAAGCCCCGATGACTTTCTCAGCTGTTCTCACTGCAGCCTGATCCTCTCCTGCCTTATGGCTGCTCCAGACCAGACTGTTATGGATGCACACAGGATCAKCRGCTCCTGAGGTAGGTCCAACTTCCTCAGGATGGATATGTTGGGCTCCAACTTCAGGTCATGTGAGATGGTGGTTCCCAGGAACCTGAAGGACTCTACCGTAGACACAGGGCTGTTGAAGACTGTGAGGGGCAGCAGTGCTGGGAGGTGTCTCCTGAAGTCCACTCTCATCTCTACAGCTTTGAGCATGTTCAGCTCCAGGTTGTTGGGCTGCACCAGGACATCAGTCAATTAAATAAAAAAACAAACAAACATGATATTTAGTGCATTTTGGCAGCCTGTCCTGAGCCTGGTTCTGCTGGAGGTTTCTTCTTGTTAAAAGGGAGTTTTTCCTCTCTACTGTCACTAGCTGTTTCCACTGACSATGAAAATGCACAAATTAGAATTTTGAAAATAAATTTGCTCAACGGAAACACGTAAAAACTCCCTTTTTTCGACAAAATGTTTTTGCTCTAGGATGAGGTGTTTTTTTCGGCCGTATTGAAATTGGTGTTTTTCGCTAAACTGCAATGGAAACACTTTTTCACATCACGGGAGTCACGTGAAGAACCGGCTGTTTCTACTGGGGAAAAAAGACGACGAAGAAGACAACAGGAAGTAGAAGTAGTAGTAAAATAAAGTTATAAAAAAATGTAGTAAAATCACCAACTACAATTTCCCAAAAAGTCCTCATATGTAGCCACTCCCAAATATGAAGGGCTTGTCACTCGAAAGCCTCGATAAGGTGCTGATGTCTGATGTGAGCTAGTGCCATGGTAGCAATATGCCATGTTTGTAATGACTTATCGCGAAAACAACCATATTCACGTGACTTTGATAGCATTTCTTACTTAATGGAAACAGGTAATCTGGAATGGAAACAAAATATCTACAAAGTTTTGCGCACATTTGCAATGGAAACGTGTCTTTTTTTTCCACGTCATCTCTAATTGGTCCTTATTGAACACAAACGTAAAATTTTATAAATCAAGACACTGGAAACCAGACGTATTTTTTTACTAAAAGAATAAATTTTATTTCAGCACTGTAAGTCATTTCCCAACCAGTACAAACATGACTGCCATCTTTGTCTCTTCCTGAACCTTTCCTCCCCTCTCTCTGTGAGATCAGACCATCAACAGCCAGACAAATTAAAAATGAAAAACAAAACTTTCGTTGTTTCACCTTTCCACAGACCCTTTGGTGCTTTCATAATGCTAACAATGACAAATTATACCAACCATAATTATAACAACAATAATGATGATAATATTTCTATAACAATTATATTATGGAAAGATTTGAACCCTTTAACGCTGCACGGGTTGATTTGGGTTTTTAAAAGTACTTGTGCATCAGGACGCTGCTGAAAATGGGCCAAAGTGAAAGAAATTGGTTTGTGATAATCAGCGTGAACGGGACCGAGGCATGTGAGGAGGGGTGGGTATGATGGTGTGTGTGTAGGGGGGGGGGTCTGCTGAGAGGAGGGGAGTGGCAGTGTAAAGAGAGACAGACAGAAATAAGGGACCTTCAATCAACCCTGACATGATGCAGTGAGAATCAACAGGTCCAACAGATCCAGTGGTTCTGTTTGACAGTAATACTGCTTCACTTCCACACATCTACATGAAACACTTTTGTTCTGGGACTTGGTTCTAGTCACAGTCCAGCTCTTTACAGACTCTCCTCTCTCATGCAGGCCAGGTTTTAACTGAAGGAGAGTGGATCTTCCTTCCAACACCATATTGAGTCGTTTCAGATTCKTACTGGTGGATTTTTGTTTTGATGGGACGTAAAAAGTTAAAATTAGGCCAAACCTTTTCACGGCCGAGTGCAACTAACAGCCATTAACTCACGTCAAAAACACCAGCAGTTTGTAAAATATACGTTAGATTTTTGAGGTAAATTTAGCAAAAACAAACTTAAAACAGACCATTTCAACTGTGTATGTTGTGTGAAATCTCCACGAAGGCTTCAATAAGCCCAGATGTGTGCAGGAAGGAAGACCCGGCCTCTGGGCCTGCCAACACGAGGACACTTGGAGAGAGCAGAACAAGTTAGAAGTATGAAAAGATACATAAAGTGCCACAAACCCCAGCATGACCGGAGGCTTTCCTACCATTCCGTCCTGTTTTTCTGTAGATTTGCTGTAAAAGCGCAGCGACTCACAGCCTAGAATTCAGCGAGCAGAGACACGGATTCACCCACAGCGGCTCTGCGGTCCAAACCGCCGGCTCGATCCCTGTCCGTCTGCRTCTCTGCGACTGCCACCGTTACCTCACTGACTTGTCGAAGAAATCACGTGCTGCAATGGAATAGCTATATATAAAATCATACTAATCAGTAAACTCGTTACTTATAGAGGAGGCGGTGGATGTGGAGGGGGTTAATTCTTAATGTTGGGACGATTGTGGGTGGGCGAGGGTGTACTTTGGTTCTCAGATGTTCAAAAAGACATGCTTTGCTGCTTTGTGCAAGGGCGCAGAGTTCAGCTTAGACTTGATGAGAGAAATCGTTGTCAGGAATATTGTGAGAATCGAACATAGTGCAGACGATTTTTCAAATTGGGGGGAGAAAAAAACAAAACAACGGGCGATTATTTGTTCATACAAGAGAAACGGTGAAGTGGTCTAAAGATGCCATTTAAAGTACAGATGAGAACGGCGATCGTTACAGTTCAAATCTCTAGGTTGGCTAAATGTTTCAGTACTAACTGAAGCGATGGTAGAAGGTTAAGATTAGATGAAATAACATTAAAATAGTAAGAAAACACATTTGCACAATTGAATAAAACGGTTTTGATTTTTTTTCGTTTTTACGTTTTTTTTAATCACTCTGGCTAGATACATATAGAAACTGATTATCAACGTTAATATAACCTTTACTGTTAGTTGGGTTGATTAAGGGGCGGGGCAGCCCAGAGAAAAGAGAAGAAAAAAGAACGGCCAATAAAAAAACGGTCCTAAAGGGCTAACGGAGGGGCAGAGAAAGAAGTAAAGGGGTTGAGAGGGGGGTGTGGGGGGGGTCATCTGTGTGTATTATATTCATGTGTGTGGCTACTTTAACGAGTGCCTGTGAGTGTGGACTGTGTGTGTGTGGRAGGATGTTTGACATCTATAAGGGAGCGAGGAGGTTTTGAGGGTAAAGAAAAGAAGTGAACAAAGAGGGAGGTGAGAGAAAACATGGTTAACGGGGGAGAAACCGATAGAACAAGTAGAAAAATCACTGATCAATACCTAYTGAACTAAAACAGACAAGGACAAAGAGGGACACTACATCATGTGTTGTGTTGAATATATTTTCTCCAAACTAGCTACTGTGTAACTCTGGATTTACCACTGATGTATCTGCATGTCTGTATTAGTGTGTGGTGTGTGTGTGTGTGTTTGCATGCCTGACACGCGAGGTGTCTCCTTTTCCATAAACCTTCAATGCAAACCTGACGCTGTGGGATTACAGTCAGTAGAACGTGTTACCAAATGATCTCTGATGAACGGACAATCACTTGACTGAACTGAAACTGCACAAAAAAATTAAAATAAAATCATCACTTCAGCACAAAAGCAGAGAGAATGCTGCTGGTAACAAATACAACTGATATCTGTCTGGGTGTTGTTTGTGTGTGTGTGTGTGTCAGAGTGTTTTAATTGTCATCCAGCGAGCGAATCGAGAGAGGGCATCACACAGGATCATGCTCTGGCTCGCCGCTGAAAAAGCCATCTTCTTCTTCTTTTTTTTTTTTGCCACAATATTTTTGTTGCAATCCATGTTATTTGAACTAATGTCAAAAATTGAAACRGTTGAGTATATGACTCCTAGTAATCCTAGACTTAGTATTTCGGCCAGTAGAGCTAAACTCTGTCGTCTAGTCTCGGTGTCAGTGTTTTAAAGTCCTGTGTTAAACCCCAGACCCTACAACGTGCGCTGCACCTGACGGCAACAGCGAAACGGGTCTGAACCTCTGGTCTCGTTTGGTGTCGATGTAATCGATGGCGATGCGGTCCAGCCTCGTAACGTCTACACGTGTGGCAGTCGATGGGTCGACGTGTCATTAACTGTTGAGCTCAACGAATAAAGAAAGATTTTTAAAGTGACTACATTAACACGAACGGTGTCAGGGTTGTTGTTTTGCTTTTCAGAGGAGCTTTTTCTGTCAATTCTGTGGCACATGATAGAGCACAAGTCACCAACATAGTAAGAAAATAAGGTGCTTCTAGTGGACTTGCCTTTTTGTGTGTAAGCAGTCAATTTCAGCCTTTCTTAGAATGATTAAAGGTCTGAGATCTGTCACTTTACTGCTTTTAGATTTGCAGCTGTGCTACCAGGTTTATTTAAATATCTCTTGTTAGATAACACCCACTGTGGGGTGGTGGTGGGGTGGCACAATTCATTGTCTACATACATAAGTGCTCTAGAAACATGTCAATAACGTCAGATGCCCCAGGCTGTGAGTGGCACACTCCCGTGGTGTGCCACAGGTATGGACTTTAGAGCAGAAAGGCTTCCTGCTGGTCTACATGGACCCGCTCCAGGCTCTGCATGGCAGCAGCTCTGGGCCAACGGGTTCAAGTTATGGGGGCTCTGCCGTCGCATCAGTTTGTCATGACGCGCTGCCGCAGATGGACAGCGGTGCATTATTGACATACGCTTTGGAAAGAACATATTGAAAATCTGATAAACTTCCAGGAGTCTTTGACCCGAACGACCAAAACCCCCCGCTGTAGCTTCGTTGTAAAGTTCTTAACCGAATGATTTAGGCATCGGTTGCTCAGAACTTCCTTTCCACCTCTGTCACCGGGCAGCATTTAGTTTTATTCTTTTTGGCCTCGAGTCAAGAAGGTGCCTTGTTTTTCTTATTCTTTTTTTTTTAAATATCTTTTTCACTTGGTAGAGGACTGTCCAGTGTGGTTGAATTTTTTTTTAAAACAAAGTGCTTCTTTGTTTGAAACCACTCTGTTCACATTCTGACGTCTCTCAAATAGATCTCTACCTTTAAATGTAGTCCTACATGTCATAAAGATTTACTTCGGAGCAGGCAGAATGTTATTCCAACTGTATATAGGGGCATATTTAGTCTCATCGTATTTTAAATACAACATTAAGTGCTTCTGCTGGGTTAATACAATCAAAGCTTTGGGACAAAAGGACAAAGGGGAAAGGACAATCTTGCATACTTCAGGGCTTAAGGTGCATAAATTTATGGGGTTCTTAGCACATCTAAGGACTAGGCTATGCTACATAGGTCAAAATAAGACAGCACACTATAACCATGGTGGTGCTCCAGTGATAGGTAACCAATTAATCTATAAAGTGGAGGGGTTTGCGCCAGCACACATTCCAACAGTGTGTGTGTATGGTAAGGTGGGGGTGTGGGGGGTTCACTGCACAGAACGGTACACCACTGTGTTGAAACTCTCACTTCAAACCTCTCTAAGGCTATGGCAACAAACCTCACCAACTCCACGCTGTAACCGCCTCCCATCAGTCGCCATAGTCGTGGAGATTCAAACAATGGGACCATTAAAAACAACTAAAAACCTTGAGCTGTACAGATATCCCTGCTGAGGGGGCTAGAGGGCTCGTTTAAGGGGTGGGCTGTGACACGGGACAAAACTTCAAGCCTATTTCGCTCTGAGTGCAAGAAAAGTGACATCTGGGATTCTTTTTTTAAAAGGGGTGGGGCGCTTATGAACTCATGGAGGAAACTCTTCGTTATGAAACAAATGTAAAACCACATGAGTAAAATAAGGGGAGCAACAGCTAACTGCTTCAGTCGATCAGATGGAGCAGGAAGTGGAGCGAGGAGCCGTCGCTTCACTTCCTGCTTCATGGGATTTAGCGTGAAGTTAGCAGACGGGGCAAAAAAACAAAATAAATCTTGGGGAAAGGCAGTCGAACACAAACAACTCTCTGAGAGCAGTGCATCCTGGGAAGAATGCCATCACTCCTCCTTTTGTAGCGCTTCATCTGACGGGCAGTCGTCAAGGCAACAAGGGGCCTCCACTTCCAACCCCTCTGATTGGTTGTCTCTGCTGGCTAAGGCACATGAGATTGGCTGGGCCAGAGGGGCCAGCTCCAGGGGCTGGTCGATGGCAGAGGCTGATGAGCTGCCGTTCAGCTGCTGAGTTGTAATCTCTGGCGTGGAGCCCACCTCCTCTGGGGGCTTGGTGGGACTACTGGATGGTGGGGGTGATGTCTGAGGGAGAGCCGTGAGAACGAGTGTTAACAGGACACCAGAAGGTATGACCAAACAGAAAAGAGGGAATGAGAAATGGTTTGTTCTTGCCCCTGCAGCGTGAATGAGGGTGAGATGCACGGCTGTATAAAGTAAGAGTTATTAACTGATAAAGATCTGTATGTGTTGTATGATGCAATGATTGTTCCACATTTAATCCATTGTACTGAAGTCTGGAGACAAACATAGAAGTTACAAATATTATTCTGACTTCACAAAAAAGAGCTGGAGGAATTATTACTAAAAAACATTATGGTCATCCAACAAATACATGATTTTATCAGTTGAAATTATTGAAAAAGTCAAAGAAAACATCTTTTTATTTAAGAAAGTTGGAATAATTCACACAATTTAACCCATTTTTTTCCCATAACTGGCATATTTTCTTTTGAATTTGGCTCAGCCAAATTGAAACAGGAAGTGACATCAGAGGGGAACTCTTTAACAAAGAAAACTCTCTGGTCTTCGTTTATTGAAACAATATTATTTGAAATCTGACTCTTCATCTCTCTGATAGAGACTCAAAATAATCTTAAGAAACATCAGATTCTTCTCTACAGTCTGTGTTGTTATGCACTCTGTTCACATGCAGACATTCCCCTATGACATCACTTCCTGTTACCTCACAGGCAAATATCTCATCAACTTGTCAACAATCTGACATCACAGGCACTTTAAAGGAGTTGAGATTTTTGTAAAACTGCAATTTGAACTAGTCTGAAGGAAAGAAGTTCTTCAATTTAAGGAATACAACTGTGGAATAAACTTAAAGTGCCTGTGACATCAAATTTTTGTAATAAACATGAATGCATTTTTTGAAAGATAACATTGATAACATATTGCAAAACAAATTTCATGTCGCTCAGATGAACGGTTGTTGAGATATTGGCATGTGAAGAAACAGGAAGTGATGTCAAAGGAGAATGTCAGCATGTAAGCAGTGTTGTTACAAAAGCTAACAACACAGACTGTAGAAAAGAATCTGATGTTTCAGAGTTAAAGTTTAAATAATTTTGTTTTAATAAACAGAGACCAGCAAGTTTATTTTATGAAAGAGTTCCCCTTTGATGTAACTTCCTGTTTCACTTTGGATGAGCCAAGTTCAAAAGAAAATAGGCCAGTTATGTGACAAAATGTGTAAAATCATGTGTACAATGCCAATTTTCTTAAGCATAAAGATGCTTTCTTTGRCTTTTTGTATTTGAAGGACAGGCATGTCACAGGCACTTTAAGACTGAAGTTAAAAACTGCTGGAAAAGAGGAATATAAAAGCTAGCTTGTTAAAGAAATATGAAATATAATGTGTGTTGATTTTATTTAGTTTATTTTCAAGAATGATAAAAATAAATACATAAATAATAATAAAAATACTTAGTTCTAAATAACATATTTTAAAGCTGTAACCATAATATCATGATTCTGTGAAACTGTATTTGTAAAGTTACAACATGACAGCTTTATGTTTTGGAGCAGTGCTGGTCATTACCTGTGTTCTGTTGGCAGCTACCTTTTTCCCACCCTTCACTTTTGCTGGAATCTCCTTTCCCCTTCTATGAAGAGAAAGAAACATTTCAAGAGTTTTGCACCAGTTTTTAAAACATTTCCAAACACATGAGTTGCTGCAGTCAGGATCTAACACAGTGGTGCCCAGTCCTGGAGGGCCACTACCCTGCAGGTTTTACATGTTTCTCTGCTCCAACACACCTAATCTGAATGAACAGATGATGAACAGACTACTGCAGAACATGAAGAAGTCATTCAATCACTGAATCAGGTGTGTTGAAGCAGAAAAACAAGTAAAAGATACAGSTTAGTGGCACTGGAGGAGCAGGGTTAGACTTGCCTGGTAAACACCGTCAGTGATCTATTACTATAAATACCAGGAAATACCGTAATCTATTTTAATGTCTGAATTGTCTTTCTACAACTGCGTCCTCTTATTGTCTTCATCAGAACTTTGAGACATGTAGAAATACCTCAACAACAAAAAGACAATTAAAGTTCTTGACAGACAACCTTATGTTCATTACTGTAAAATCATTGATAAATACAAGATCTTGGACTTCGAAAATTATCAGATTCAGTGATTTAAGTCTTGTTTTTAAGGTCTTAAATGGACATGCTCATCCACCTTTAAACAATTTTATCCACGAACAYACATCCAGAATGAATACAAGGTCTCAAACTAGAGGGGACTGTGTTGTCACATGACAGAGAACTGAGTTTGGGTGGAAGGTCACGTCTATCAGAGGAACTTCCTTATGGAATGAACCAGCAAATATCAGAGACAGAAGCTGTGTTTTCATTGCAAATGTGTGCAAAACTTTGTCGATATTCTGTTAATGTAAAAAAAAAAAAAAAAAGTTTCGCAATTGCAATGTTTCCATTAAGTAAGAAATGCTATTAAAGTCACACGTGAATACGTTTGTTCTCGCGATAAGTCTTTACAAACACGGCGGCAATGGAGGTAATAATTGCTACCATGACACTAGCGATCATCATCAGCCATCAGAGGAGACGTCGGCGTCTTATCAAGGCTTTCGAGCAACAAGYCCCTCATATTTGGGAGCGGCTACGTATGCGGCGTTTTTGGGAAATTGTAGTCGGTGAGTTTACTACTTTCWTTTACAACTTCAGTGATTTTACTACTTCTACTTCCTCTTGTCTTCTTCGTCGTCATCTTTTTCGCCAGTAGAAACAGCCGGTTGTTGATCATGTGACTCCTGTGATGTGAAAAAAGTGTTTCCATTGCAGTTTTGCGAAACACACCAATTTCGCTACGGCCGAAAACCCACCTCACCCTAGCGCAAAATCATTTAGTCGAAAAAAGGAAGTTTTTTCGAAATTGACATGTTTCCATTGAGCAAACTTATTTTCGAAATTCTAATTTGCCCATTTTCATGGTCAATGGAAAAGCAGCTTGTGACASTTATTCCATTTTTTAAAAAGAAACTTAAAGTTTGGCTGAAAGAAAATCAGTCATGCATTCATTTGTAAAATAATTTAACTGTGTATTTTGTAGACTGAGGAGTTTGTGTGTTTGTTGGGCAGTATTGAACTTTGTTTTGTGTACTTGTTTTATTAACTTACTTTTTTATCTGCTCAGGACTACAGATGAAATTTAGCTGTTGCGCATTTTATATTCACAGAACATTGATCAATGTGCCTTGTCCTTTTAAATAAATAAATGAAATGAAACTGCACYGACAATCAAACAGTAAACACTTGGTTTGACCGAAAAGAACAAAACAAAAACCATCACTCACCCTTTTCCTGCTCCCACTGACACCACCTGCATGTTGAAGCCTCCCCTGCCATGGACAGGTTTGTTCCCCGCCCACTGGCCAACCACCATGCCGGCTATCTCCAGCTTACCTCCTTGAGGAGGGATGGACTGAATGCCTGCAGAACCAGGAAGAACATAACATCAGTTTAGGAAGAACAAACTGTGTTTCAACAGATTGATTCAGAGAAAAAAGTTACACATATAGTTTTTACCACAACTGTTACTGCAGATGAACTGTGTTGGTTATAAATAAATAGTTAAGTCTATAAGATATTATTATATTAACAACAGATAGCCTCTCAAGCAGAGTTGGGTACTGAAACTCGGTTCCAGTATGGCACCGGGGCGAAGATCAACGGTAGTATACAGACCGAAACACAACTCTAACTTCGGTGCCTCAAAGAAAGCTGTTAATTTGCGCCCTCTGGTGTTCACTGTTAACAGAACAGAACCTCAGCTTAGCCAGTTAGCCTTTGCGCTAACGCAGACACTACATAGCCTTATATGTATTAGCTCGGCGCTAGCGCAACAAACAAGCTAAACTGAGGTCCTCCATCCACATGACAGAGAGGGGAATGCAAAAATGACTCAGTCTGCAACTGAAAATG